TTTTTTTGGGGTTTTTTTGGTTTTCCTTTTTTTTTTAAATTCGGCGCCCCCCCCGTGGGTGTTTGTTTAAATAGGTGGGCGTCGTTTTGCAAAAATGGCCCCCCCTTTTTAGGGGAAAGAGGGGGGGCCCCCTTTTTCCGGTCCCCTCCATTCCTCCATTCCCCCCCCCCCCCCCCCCTCCGGACCTCGATACCCGCATCAAATTGACGGTTTTGAAGAGCGTAATCGTACCGCCGCTAGAGTACGCCGGTTAAGTATGGGAAGGAAATAAGAAGGTAGTGAAAGAACTCGAGGCGGCCCAGATGAAAGCAACGAAAATCATCCTAGGATGCTCCAAGCGCACAAGTAATGCAGCCGTCAGGGCAGAATTGGGGATCCAATCCCTACGGTCGGGAAGAGACGCAAGGAAGCTGACATGGCAGTATTGTATGTGCGGGATGGGAGAGGAGAGGTTGCCGAGAATAGTATGGGAGACGAAGTGGGCAAACAAAAAGAGGGGTAGACAACCCACGGAATGGGTCAAGGTTGTAGAGGACGTATACAAGGGGTTCGAAATCGACGAAGATGAAACGCTGCAAACGGAGGGTCTACAGGGGTTCAAGGTGAAGATATCTGTTGCTTGTGCCGAGAGAGAAGAACAGAGTCTAAGGAAAGAAACCGAGGATAAGGAAGGTCTAGAAGTGTACGAAATGTTGAAAGACGGATAGGGTTCAAGGGTTACCTACATGGACCAATGGGTGGAGGGACAGAGCTTATGGTCAAATTCAGGACCGGGGACATAGGCCTTCGAGAACGTCGACGAAGACATAGGACGGTAGACGACAAAGACGACAAGTTCAAATGTGATTGCGGCTTCGAATGCGAAGACCGTGTTCATGTCGCGGAATGTCAGTTGTACGAAGAGGAGAGGGAAGTGTACATGGCTGAGCTGGGAAAAGTACGAGGGAGGTACAGGGAGATGTTTGAGGCATGGAAAAGAGAGGAGAGGACGGTAGCTGTACTGGGGAATAGGAAGTGGTTTGAAAAGGCGGGAAGGGATATCGTTAGGATAGATAGACTAGGGAAGACATTTTTGAACCACCTTTGGCAAAGTAGGAAGGAACGATTAGCCATCGGTGATCGGTCCTGTAGGAACAATGCTCCGTCCTCTCGAGGACGCGTGGTCAATGGTCTAACCGCTAAGGCATGCAAAACATAAGAGTACGCCCCCCCCCCCCCCCCCCCCCCCCCCCCCCCC